ATACTTTTTTGTCCAGAACAGGTGATAACTCCGAGATCACCCCTTGTTGGTTCAAAGTTCAAACCCACAACCTTATGTTTACCTGGCCAGGCATCCGACATGTTGTGACTGACTCATTGAGTGTCTAGAACACCACAGAGAGCAATATAATCTTCAAGCAGCATTATATTTCTTCTGCCTCCCTCATGCACCACAGGATTGCCTCTGACATTTAAGGGAAGCATTAAAAAGTCAGCCTCCCCACTTTCTATTTTCCTTTGTGCCTGAGATTTGTGGAGTCTCTTGGTTAGTGGTGGGATAAGGAGCATCTTGAACTTCCTATTGCACTCCACTCCATGATTTGTGGGGTCGCTCCTCAGAATGATTGCTTTCGCAGGTCTAGCCCAGATGTCATCAATCAACAGCAGTGAACGGCGTGGAGAGTGAGTACTTTGGCAGATGTCCATGTCATTAAACGGTGAAGAGAGCAGCGCTCCTGCTGCAAGTGAAAGGTGATTGTAGGTGTGCTCCATGTTTACATTTGGGCCCCCGGAAATTTTCGCTTGAACTTTTGTGTGTTTTTTTTTTTTTTATCCACCACATTTCTTCAGGCCTGAAGCGTCTCCGCAAAGGCACTTGCCCGATGGGTTTCAAATCATAATAGAGAAAGAATGGGACACTTGTTCTAACTTTGTTGTCCAATGGGGTCTATCATCCACTAGTTTTGTAGGTGTTTTGGTAGGCTTGAAGCGATAATTCACCAACAAATGAAACTGCTGTCATCATTTGCTCACCCACCCCATGTCGGTCCAAACCTATATGACTGATTTTCTTCTGTGGAACACAACATATTTTAAAGAATGTTTTTAAATCCATAAAATGAATGTAGGACTGTGCAAAGATTAATTGCGATTAATCGTATCCAAAATAAATGTTTGTGTTTACGTAATATATTTGTGTGTGCTGTATATAATTTTTCGTATATATAAATACACAAATGCATGTCAATATTTAAGAAAATGTGTTATTCATAATATATTTATACAAAGTATATATAATATAGATTATGTATTTATATTAGGGCTGGGCAACGATTAATCACGATTAATCACATCCAAAATAAAAGTTTGTGTTTACATAATATATGCGTGTGTACTGTGTATAATTATTTTGTATATAAAATACACACACATGCATGTATATATTTAAGACAAATGTGTTATTAATATATAAAATATGAATTTATATTTAAAATAAATTATGTATAAATATATACAGTATACATGCAAATATTTCTTAAATATATACATGCATGTGTTTATATATACAAAATAATTATACACGCTACACAAAAAAACTTTTATTTTGAATACGATTAATCGCGATTAATCATTGCCCAGCCCTAAATTTTTATATATACAGTATTTACGTGCAAATAATTCTTATTTACGTACATGCATGTATATGTATTTATATATACAAAATAATTATACACAGCACACACACATATATAATGTAAACACAAACTTTTATTTTGGATGCGATTAATTGCAATTAATCTTAGCACAGCCCTAAATGAAAGTCATGAGTCCAAAATACTGGACCCCACTGACTTTAGGTGAAGTTTTGGGAGAACTATGCATTTAAATTTAATCATTTAGGCACAACCATTCTAAATCAAAGAAATATGAGACTGTTTACAGTTCTCAAATAAATGCATACTGTTCTTCAAAATGGGACAATGCAGAAAACAAATCTTTTCTTACTAAGCGGCTGATGAGCCCCTGCAGGTTCTTTGCTTTTCATTAAGCGCAAGACTATTGCGGTGCAATTTCTGAACGAATTGCTATAAACAAATTCCGTCAGATTAAACCATTACCAAAGGCCATGGCGGAATGAAAAGATTCTTAAATTGGTCATGGAGATGAAAAAAATATTAACAGTATTGATCTCAGAATCTTTCACTGTTCTTCAATCATGCTGTCTTCAGTCTTCTAAGGAGATTTTTCATGATGGACTGAATCGACGGTTATCTGAAGGTTAGACGGGTATACTGATGGGAATGTGAAGGCAGAAACAAAAATAACATAGCCACATGTGTCTTGTCACCTTTGCATTTTTTCCCCTGTGTTCAACTTTTTCGAATGAAGCTGCTTAATTACTATCTCACTGCAAACACATTGCACAGTTTATTCCTGGACTAGGAAATAGGTGCCACAGGCTTTTGTTGTTCTGTGTTAAATGGATTTGAGAGCTGTTTATTTGCGGCAGACATGCCAGTTGCATTCCCAAAGCTTTTCTCTTGCTGATAAGGACACAAACCCGTAGACCTCCACTGATTCGGGTACCAGACAGTCTTGAGACTGCCACCATAAAACAGGTACAGTACACACACAAAAAATATAGGCACAATATACTGTAGAGGTTGTACAAACAAACTATGATGTCCTCAGTCTCCATACTAAAACATACAAATGTAACGTAAAATGTCCAGCAATATTAAAGGGGTGCATCATTACAACCTTTCTGCACCAATACCAATTCTCCAGAACGAGATCTCTCAATGCTAAAACAGATAGTTTGATGGTTATATCGCCCGTTTTTGTGCTGTACGATTTGATTTTTTCTTATGCTATCAAATGCTTGCGCTATAACCGGAAATTATACAGGAGCATTACTAGAATATTAACAACAAACTATTCAATTGCTATTTATTTTGTAAGTGAAGTTAGTTTTGAGAAAAGCTTTAGGCCGTGTGTCCACCCAAGCGTTTTTAGTCCACTGAAAACGCCAGACGCTCTGCTGAAGAAGGCCGTGCTTTGGGCGCTTAAGAGAGTTTTGGCAGCGCAGCGTTTTTTCCGTTGAAACGTTTCGTTGCTAAGATACAGAATATCCGCAGCACAGTTTACTTGTAACTGATTTCGCAGATAATTTGGTTCATACTAAGCATGTATTTTTCATCCATTTTGTTCGGTTAGCTCTGTTGGTTGATGTCGTTGTACCGAAAGAATGTTGTGACAGTTGGTCAGTGTGGTTTAGTCCCGCCCATCCTCCACTGTGATTGGACGGCTGGGTAAAAAGTGACAGTGATGAGTGAAAGTTGAACATTTTTCGACTCTCGGCAAACAGTAAAAAACGCTGGGCGCTCGGCGTTTCAGTGTGAAAAAAACTGCTCGTTAAGCTCATGGAAAACAATTGAAAACATACGCCAGGCACGTGGAAAAAAAAACTTTGAAGACACACGCCCTTAGTATCAGTGGTTTGCCAGTGTCACTTTGCTTGATCAATTGTTTTGTATCAAATTCTGGTCCAAACGCTTTGTAAGGCTGTGCATTTCTTCTCACTAGTACGTTTTCATTTGCTTCTACACTAACTTAGTTATTTAGATTGGTGCAAAGCTTTTCACTAAACCCTTGTCAAAATCAGACAGCTCGGTGAGTGAAAGCGTTCTAGCTGGGTCGAATTGAAATAGATGGTCCGTCTGTGAGGCATTATCATGGATATGCTAGTCAGCCAACAAGTCAAGACAATATCCCTCCATATTTTATCTTGTCACTGATCTCTTAGAGAGACATTTTTCATCTCCCATTCAAAATAAGTTGCCCTTTGTGTAACGGTTTGGAGAACTGATAAAATCGAGGACTTTTGGAGAGCATTTAATTGCCGCTGTGGAAGAACGCACACCAGCGTAAGTGAAATAAATGCGGAAAGCAAATTATATTCGACTAATAGTCCACGAACGATGGCTGCACACTGCCTGATCATTCCTATTGCTTTCCAGTGTCTCAGCATAGCTAGAGGTCGCATCGGTTACGTTACGGTAATGATCAGAGCGCTAAAATGGCAAGATTGTTAAATTACTGGCAAATTAACTCAGGCGACCACTGTGAGCAACTTGCATATTTTCTAATCTAATTTGAGGGTGTCTGGTGACAATCAAAATGGATAATTGTGTTGATTGCACTCACAGTTATGAAGTTCATTTAGCTTGATTTCCCATCCTGGTCATTAAAATGACAGCAACCCAAAGACAATAGAGTCATCACTCCAGTTGGTTTACCCACCCTGTGTGACAAACAACATATTGATGTGCGAATCTGCGCGCTGGGAATTTCTCACCGTAAGCATGAGCGTTTCGGCACTGAATCATGGACGCATGGAATTGATAACAAACCACCTAATCACCTACAGTATGTGACAACAATGTACCATCAGTCCCAACAAGAGCGCCGATTTGGTCTGAGACAGCTGAGATGTACAATTTGTCACATTCTTAAACTTAATGAGGCTGTAAAACTATTGAAAATGTGCAAGCCATAAAATGCACCCCGCCTCATTACTATCAATAGAAAACACTACTACAGGCTGTCTTTTACACTGTACCATAAACAGGTTTGACAGAAGGCATTTAGAGAGCCCCAAAAAAGCCTTTGGTTTGTTCTGCATGCTGGTATGATTCATAATTTCTTATTATTTTCCTTCTGGCTGGTTCAGAAATCTCCATATAAATCCATCAAATGTTACCTGTATGAACCAGAGCATCACAACCGGTTCGTGCCGGACCATCTGCATTCACAGATTACCGCAGAATAACTGGGTACTGGGGGAACTGAAATGACCTTGTGATTTTCTCGTCACCGTGGTAGATTGTTGCATCTGCATTTATTGCAGCTATTTGTGGCAAAAAATCTATCTAAAAGCTTATCTTGTCTTGTAAAGAAGTGTAATCATGATCTGATTTATGTCAAGGAGGGAAGCTGACACCATAAAATCCAGGCACATGAATTCAGTATTTGCCTCCATAAAGAGGCTACCTGTTAGCATTATCAAAGATGCACATCTATCTATCTATCTATCTATCTATCTATCTATCTATCTATCTATCTATCTATCTATCTATCTATCTATCTATCTATCTATCTATCTATCTATCCATCCATCCATCCATCCATCCATCCATCCATCCATCCATCCATCCATCCATCCATCCATCCATCCATCCATCCATCCATCCATCCATCCATCCATCCATCCATCCATCCATCCATCCATCCATCTATCGATCGAGATATAACAATAAACAAATAATGTTTAAAGGAGCTGTATGTAAGATTGTGGCCAAAACAGGTACTGCAATCACTTTCAAATTACTGTACTGTTATCAATATATAAAACTGCACAATACATGACAGATTTTTAAATGATGAATACATAGTTATCTCGTATCATCACATATGAAAAGAATTGAGAATTAACATAAATAAAGTCACTTTTTACCATTTACCGATGAAATATACATTTTGGCGGGAGCTAGATTTAAAGGGTAGACATCCATCAGTTTGAATAGGCGTAGGGATTCTGTCTGTATTATTCACTCCGACTCCTGCGTCTCACCGGAGGGACCAACAGGATGCCATCAGTGACGACTGCCATGTGACAACCGGAGAAGAGAGGGTGCCAGAGCGCTCAGCGAGCAGATGTCGAAAAATCCTCACCGACATTTCCTAATCTCCTCCCAGAAGACATTTTGCATACTCCATACACACATGTACGTTTGTTAGGGGTGTCCATGTTCCATCCCTGCGTTAGAATAAATGCGTCTAATGATGCCGTGTTTAATGACAGACAGGGACACGTAATGGGATATTTGATTGTTAAATATTGGATGGCATAAGAAGGCTTCTTGCGGTGAGGAAAGAGGACAGTAGGTAGGAGGAGACACAGGGGCTTCCTGACAACAGCTGCACAAAAAAAAACTGTTTACGTGGTGTCATGCCCTTGAAATCGTAGGGCATCGGGAGAAGGCGTAGCCAAGACTGGCTGCATGGACTGAACATGATCTCTGATGAACTGCCAACTATATTTCCCATCTCACAGAACACCGCCATGACTTGTCACAAGTAATGACATTGAGTTTCCCTTTCTGTCAATAAAATAAAGGACAATAAAAGCATAATACACTTTAAAATGCATTTAAATTAATTTGCCACCCTGTGCATTTATATCCCAGTCATACTGTGTTTCATATTGAGAGCCTAGTTTAGAGAACACATTACTGTAATACTGTGGAACAGTTCCCCTGCACATCTGTAGGGGGCATACTAATATACAAAGCTTTTCCTAGTACCTGACAGGTTGATAAGCCTTACAGACTCATAAGTGTTTGACTAAGGAGGTCTATTATACCTGGAGAGATCCTTTTTTTTCTCCACATGAAAATGTAATAATGTTGGCTAAAGGCATCACAAGAACGCAGAAACGATCCTGAGATTCAAATGTCAATGCTTTTAAGAGCTTCCAAAAACGAATCTGACATTGGTAAATGTAATCTAATGAAAGTTTCTCTAATCTGGGTATATATATATATATTGATTTGCCACAATGATAATTATAAAAAGAAAATAAAGCAATAATGAAATTGCAGTTGAAATGTAATGTTCATTTATGGTGATGGTTTTCAATTTTGAAATCAACTAATTAGCTGATGGCAGTTGACAAGTGAGTCTTTGCAATTGACTCATAATAATAAAAAAAAACTGCTTTTAATAACTGATTAAGAGTGTGAATCTGGGATGGCCAAAAGCATCATCTACTTCCCTGGCTACCCTTTTGAATTGATGCCCTCTGGATGACGTTTTAGAGCACTGAACCGTGAATTGAAAGATCAGGCAACTCTTTGATTCCCACAGCAATTAGAATACTGGATCTGGAGGACAGACAGAAAGTGGTATTGATCTTGTTTCACCCACGTTTGTTTCTTTATCTCTTTTTCAATTACTTAAATGTGTAGTAAATCTGTGGTTGTAATTAAGTTGATTAAATGTCATAATTTACATGTTTATGCATTTATCTATGGTGACCTGTTTTAAATTACTCCTGCAAATCAAATTCACCAATGGGCTAATACAATTTGACATATCAGACACAAACCGCAGTACAATCCTCCAATGAGTTAAAAGCCTTAGAAACGATGCTTTCATTTTGAGTAGGGTCACATGACTTGGTCTAAACCCCACCTCCATTTTCCAGGGACAGACTATTATTTGGCTGCATGTGAGCAGCAATTTCCATCCTCAAACCCTGGAAGAAATATCTAAACACAAAAAGCTGAGCTGTGAAGTTAGATATTCCGTGATTTCAGTTACCGTGACCTGTGTTGAAGCACGTCTCACTGTTGTAGATATCAGAGTTGTCACCTCTGATATACACAAATCAGACATCACAAAACCTTCCTCCCAACAAAATTGTTACTCAACATTGGCCACTCCACTTGGTCATCCAGGAAGATTACTTCATTACCACAGGAGCCCCTAAGGGAGGATCATTTATCAAACAATAGCAGCCTGATGATAAGAACAGATGGCATCATTTAGAAAGAAAAGGCCATCAGATCTCACAAACTCACCAATTGCCTGGCAAGCCCTGAGCTGTCTTTGTGCAGTCATGGATGTCATCCAAGGGCAGAGACCCATGTAAACAAGACACCATGATTATCATTTCATCCCGGGTAAGTAATAGCGAGACTGCACTTGGAGCATTTTAATGGAGAGCTTTGGAAATTGGGCCAGTGGAAAGCTTATTCAGAAGAACACGGGCCGGGAGCAGAGGTGAAGAAATGTGCCGGTCCAGATTGAGTCTGTCAGTCAAATGTCTCAGCCTCAAAGGGAACAGAGGTTGAGGCTAGCAGGAAGAGAGCCCAGAAGCTAAAACTGTCCCTGGATTCAGTAATCCATTTAAGAGTGAAGACTTCTGATTTATGTGTTCAGAGATACGGGTTGACTATGTTGAATTCCTCGTGCTGTTAACCTCCCTAAAATGGAAATTCAGATAGGGAGAGCTGGAGAAGGATGAGACGAGAGGGAATGGATGCAAAAGAAAGAGAGGCAGAGGAATTGGGAGAGAAAGAAGAAAATAAAAAAGGCAGGACGGTAGGATTCAGCTCAGTTCCGTGTGCCGCCCGGTCTTTGAAATGAGTGTTTTAATGCTGCACTCAAAAAGAGACAAATGAGACAAGTTGGTCTCCATGAAGACGTGGCGGATTTAACATTCAAAGAGCTTGAGTGCAATAAAAAAAGAAAGAAATGAAAAAGCCTGAACAGTTCTCCAAGTGGCAGGAGCACTATTTTCTTCATTCATTTTCCTAACTGAATTCAAGAGACAGCATCAGTCACCAATAAGGACTAGACGGTGGGCTGAACGACTCGATTTATCAGTCTTTAAAAAGCCCTGAATTTTTTCTGTCATTCATTATTTATATCACATCTTTAAATAATCACAATCCCTAAAATGTTCACACTGTGATAAAACAGCCCAACGAAATGAAAAAGAATAGAGGGGTCTTGAAATACATTTCTATAAGCATATTTCACACAACATCAAAACAAAACACTTGTAGCAAAAGACGCTCAAAAAAACAGAACAAGCCTGAATGCAATGGGCACAGATGTCTGGATGACTTTAACAGTGGCACGTATACAAATTATGATTTTAAATACGCACAGAATGCTGGAAAAAAAAAAAACACTAACTCTAAAAATATCACAAAAAAATATGCAAGGAAATCAGGACACATACTTAGGGCCAGATTTACTAAACAGGCCAAATAGCATGAGAGTGCAATTCCAAAAAAACGCACTGATTCGAGTGGAAAGTTCCTACGCTATGTCACGACCAATTTGTTCGAGTGATTCAAAAGTGGCTAATTCGTACTAATTCATACGACCTCACTCGTACGAATTTGTACGATTTGTCTAAACCCACGTGACGGTTATGTTTAGGGGCGGGGTCAGGGCTAGGTGATTCGTACGAATTCATACGAAAAATATGTACGATTTAGCAAAATCGTTCTAATTCGTATGAGTGAGGTCGTACGAATTGTTACAAATTAGCCACCTCGTAAAATTCGTACGAATTCCCGAGAGATCGGGTTGAAAGTTCTGACGACACGCAAATTAAAGAACACAGACGCAGCCGGATCATTTCCAAAATGACCAACGTATCTACCAAGAGCAGTGCAAATTAGAATCTGCTTTTTTGGCCATTAAATAATGGCACAAATACCAGTAAATTGACTAGCACAAACCTCAGTAAATCACCTTGCATGATTTATTTAAATGAGTGTCAGAAAGGGAAACTCCTGTTATTGCATATGCAATAATGTCAGCTGCAAAAACAACTCTTTTCAGTGCTAATTGTTCACTGCATGTCTTTAGTAAATGCTGACAGTAGGTTTTTAAAGCCAAAAGAGGGTTTGCGCTGGAGCATGGTGTTAGTAAATCTGCCCATTTATCATCAGTGAAGCTAGCGAATCTATACATGCAAGATGGCAAGGAAAAGAAAAAAACAAGAACTAAAGGACAAGAAAACTTCACAAGAAATCACGCCCAATTGCTGCAGAAACTGAGAAGAATGTAACCATTTCGGAAAAAGTTTGTATACAAGGTTTGCTTTCCCCCCTCTTGTATATGTTATTGAGTTTGTCATCTAGCATCTGTTGCTAATCAGAAGAAAGTTCTCAAAACATACTGTTTCTCCACATCCTTTATTGTGCAGAATATTTGTGGTTATCTAGGGCTTTCGGTGAAATGTGTTGAAAAGAGGTTTTTTTTTTTTTTTTTTTTTTCGCTGGCAGACACAGGCAAAGGCTTCTGCTGTGACTTCTCCTTGCCCTCGGCATTGTCATGGTAACAAAGAGCCCATGGGGCAGTTTTTAAGCTACTGCCTACTGTCGTCTCCAAGCTGGGGAACAGTGGGGGGGGGGGGGGGCAGCTATTCTATAGACATAAATATAAAAACGAAGCACACATATCCTACAAACTTTCATCAAAAACTTCTGTCTCTCAGAGACTGGAACTTCTCATCTGTCCCAAACCGTGTCACTGCACACACCTAGATCAGACTCGCTCATCTTCCTTTCATCTGCCCCAGACAGCTTTCGCAGTCCAAAAATGTGTTCCCCATTTCTATTCAATATAAACAAAAGATGATGGAAATGCAGACTGCTATGTGGCTGGATGTTATGCCGCTTCCTGACTAAAGCATTGTGCTGATATGACATACAGGAAAAGTGCAATGCTGACAGGAGTGCACAAGGCTCACATTTTAACCAGCGTTTTCAGAATACATAATTATGAATTGAATACAAAGAAAAACCAAACAGGGTATAAATATACATCATATTTAAATACGATATGCGGGGGTGGACTCTTGCAAGGATGTTTGGCAGTGCTGTGACTTTGACTCCGAATGACTCTTATAGATGGGTTCTTTCTTCAGACTACACTCATGAAAGAAAAAGTTTTTTTTTTTAATTATTATTATTTTGTAGTTAAGTCATCTTAAACCATATAGATCTTATTCGGAACAGCGCCATGATTGGTATAAAAGCAAGGCTGAGAGATAGACTTACCATGTTTTCAATGGCAGCTGCTGCAAAAACCTGTATACATCTCATTGATTGCTTATAATTTGCCACAGCTCATGTTGTTGTCAAGTTTTTTGTTTACTGAAATTTCTTGGAAAGAACATTTTTCAGTGTTTCGTCAACAGAACAATTCAAAAACACATTAAAGGTTGTATCAGCAATTTCAGGGCCAAACCATGCACAAACATAAATGATCACATTCATCTAATCTTTCTTAATGATCCGCTAGCTGCCCGCCCCTTAAGCAGGCCTTCAACAAAACGTATCTCTGTAGGCAGGCAAAAAACAAAAAAAAAAAAACAATTGGGTTCACCAACCACCCAAAAACAAAATAACTAGTGTTCCAACCAATAACCGTCAGGGTTTCGTTGATAGACACTAGGGCTGCAACAAACATTTATTTTGAGAATCGATTAATCTAATGATTATTAGAGTGATTAATCGACTAATCGTCGATTATTTCACTGGCTAATCAGTAGGTTTGGAACGATTATTCAGATTTTTCAATTAGTTAAAACATTGAGTTCTACATAGTATAAAAAAAGAAAATCAGTTCAGCTTTTTGAAATAGTTGTTTTAATGAACTTTGAGCCAACTAAACAGGTCATTATCTTTAAATTTTCAGATTTCGGTCCAACTCAAATCACACACAAATGCTCTCTAAGCATTGTTTAATAGGCCCACTGCTTTTCTTAGAACTGAAACAGAAAATATGGTAAAATATTACTCTGCAAACCATTATTATAAATATAAAATTACAATCTTTTTTTAGAGGAAAATTGAGCTGACAGAGACGTTCTCATTCACCTTTCAATTTACAGAATGAAAAAACATCTCCTTTTGTAAGTCTTGAAGATTATTGAACAAAATACAGGCAAGTGATTAGACTATAATACCTAATAGTGTTACAATAATAAAAACAGCCCTGCCTCCTAAGCTCGATCAAGCTTTATTCTATGCAAAATAAATCAAGTACTCCAACATGCATGTTGTGCTCCAGTGAAAAGTTCCACCTTGCATGTATTGCACATGAAAGGATTCTTGGTTTTGTGAAACTTTCCCAAACCTTGCTAGTTTGGATTCATTTGCACTCCGTCATAATTTGCATTGTTTTTTCTTTTATCGCAAATTGTAAAGGGCTGCATTACACTCGTAGTGGTCAAATCGTGATATTGCACGCCCTTACATTAGGTCACGTGAGATTAAACGACTACCCAACAACAAAGATATTTGTCAACAATTTCTTATTGTCGGCAATGTCGACTAATCGTTTCAGCCCTAATAGACACTGGCTTCTTCTTCAGCTCCAATTTCACATGCAGCCGTGCAGAAAAGGAAAACCTCACAACACCCACCCCCTGTCGGTGATTGGTTGGAACACTATTTATTTTGGTTTTGATATTTTGGCAACTCTGTGCCAGTCAGGAATTATTTTGGGTCAGAACTGCCAAGACAACCTTCTACCCCAATTAGGCAAATCTGCATATGTACTAAAAATAGACGTGTATGAAGAAGTAGTCCTCCAGAACGGAATATTTCCCATCACTGTAAAATAAGTAGGGGGGTGGAGGAGAGATTTGCTTGTTTGTTTTTGTTTTCAAGTTATAAACCAAGAACTTTGCACTCGCGCCAAGCGGCTCTTCTCTTTGATCCACAAAGAAGTAGGGTCTGTTTACTCAAAGAGCTATATGAAAAAGAAAGCTGAAAAATTGAGACACATAAAACATCTTTACCCTCAGAGACACACACATTCCTATTGCTGATGTGTTATTTTGGCCCCCTTGAACATGTTTATAGGAAGTCACTGGTTATAAAAATCATGAGCTTTTATTTTGAGTAGAAGGTTGAAACTTTAGTATATTCACCTCAAAGCATTCCTCTGATACTCTATAACATTTCATTAGGCTGTCGATTTTTCGTTTTTTTCATTTGTGAATAATTTATCTAAGATATGAGTCTTGTTATATGGATAACAAAAAAAATCAGCCCCATAAAGCTACATTTATGTGGACCCCGTCGGTCTCTGAGGGTTAAGAGTCAAATGCAAATAAGATTACAAAAAGTCAATGCATTACAAAGCACCCAATACCTTTTTTAGTTATGGGGTTGTGAATGGGGCATCATAATATATGTCAACACTAAACAAAATATCTAATATTTGCCGAAGGGAGCTAAAATATTCCATTGCCCTGACTCTAATTTCAAATCTGGGGTTGGGTTGTCTCGGTTTTCATCCTGTCCATGAATGAGACAGCCAATGACTCCAACTGTCAATACATATTTAGGTTGGGAAGACTCAAGGGATACCTACCACTATCCATCCAAAACTTTTTCGTTTAAATGATTAGAAGGTACACTCCCAAAACATTCAAATATAGACTAATTCTGTTTCTATGCACTCTCCAATTGGAAACCATTTTGGCTCTGTTTACTCTTCTTGCAATCTCAGAGAACGTAAAATAAAGTATGCCTACCAGTTGTAGAGATAGTATCTGATATTGCAAAACAGGCATCTCATCTGTCTCGCAGAGAACAGTTTGTCTACTCGGTGATGAGCTACAGACCCACAGGCTTTTATTTTTTATGATTATGGTCTGATGAGTAGAAACAGAAGCTGCTATGGCTGCCAAAATCACTCTCGAGCATACTTAAAACTTTTGTTGCATATTGAGCGACTGGCAATTCGAGAAAAAAAATTCATAGCCACGGCAGGCGATATATTAACTGTTACTGGAGCGGTTTGGTCTCCAAAACCGTCTTATAGTGTTGCCAGGAGTCTAAAAATCCAAATTGATTTTCTCAGACCAATTTTCCAGGAGTACTAATTCCACTGGTTCCACAGAGGCAGTTTTGGAAATTGCCTCTACTCTGCGTAGGCTGTTGTAGAAGACACCTTACATGGCACATGAGGCCGGTGCAATACTAAACAGATTATCCTGACAAATCACAAACACATATTACACACACATTAGACATATGGCCCAACCTAGCATGAAGAGCTGTCAATCACAGCATTTCAGGCAGCAGTTGCTCAGCCAGCCTCGTTTTGCCATCTGTTTTTAATATCTCTAACTATTTTCAATTTTCTTCATGGGTCGGAGGTCGGTTTGCCCTTGTCTGAAACGTAAGGGCCAGAATGGGAGGTGGGGTCGGGATGAAACAAGAAAAAGCAGAAAATGTAGAATAAGAGAAGCTTTGCTCCACATGCAGTGGTTAGCTTAAAAAAAGGACCTCACGCTGTCAGCTCGATGACAGAGTGGCTACTATTGACAGTCACGCCCACCGACCCCCACCCATCCTCATCCCATCCATCCCTGCCGAGCGTTTCTATGGCAACACACCAACCAGCACCCTACCCCCCCCCCTGCACGCCTGTAATCCTACTGTGAATAGGATGCGAGAGCGCGGCTTTGGGAAAAACAGCTTAACGTAGCTGAGGTTGAAGGCAACCAGCTGAGGGATGTCATATTCTATTCGGGATCTCATTAATACAATACATTACAACTTTGTATTTATTCTCCTACTGCAATGTAAACTGCAAAGGAGGAGACTATGGGCCATTTTTTACAAAAATATATATTTATTTATCGCATTTTTATTTAATTTGAGTATTTTCCAGTTTCATCACTGTAGATTTAAAATCTTCGTTTCCCCTTGTTATTTAATTTAATGAAAAGACACCAGTCATTCTGCCAATATATGTTATTTATTTTACCAATTTATATAAGACATAAGGGAGAGAGAGTGGACCAGCAAAGATCGTCCTTCTGCTTCTCTGTATTTTTCCTCTCTCTGTCTCAAACAAAGAACTTACACAGTACATATAGCTGTTCCAGAACATCTGCTCTTAATCAATCTTGAAATGTATATTCTGCTCCACGGAAAGAAACATAATACACTCAACTTCCCCCCAAGTCCCCCAAACTCTAAAAGTCTTCCACATACAGAATTCAGAAAAGTTTGATTCATAAAAATGTAGATTATAAATGATTATGAATGATATATGAAAAGTATAAAAAATGTATATGAAAAGTGTAAATCACATGCATAATACTAATGATTATAATTATTAATAAAAACAATAAAAAACTAAAAACAACATTAAATGATGAGATTGTGAATCTTCAGTCCCTCCTCTGGAACTACGGCCGTCAGTTCCACACCATCATCTCCAGGTGGCCAACCTATTGAAGCGATAGTGCTGAGGAGAAATAGTAGACCAAGACATAGACATAGAAGACAAAAGAATTGAAACAGAAAAGAAAAGAAATAACAAACAAAAACCCAACCCATGTTATGTCCCCGCATACTATGTGTCATTTAACATCTATGTGTGAGCATTTAAAATGAACCCCAATCATCTAAGAAAAGAAAAACTAAAAAAGTCTTCTGCCCGTGCCTGGACTCATTAATTAATTAACTCGTTAACTAATTAACTCCTCCAGTTCCGCGCTTAAAACAACAAACAAAATAAACGTTGATGTTAAAAGGGTCCTATCCCTTGGGGTTGTAAATCAGTAAGCGGGTGTTCATTGTTTGTGAGGTTGTGTTTTGTATGTAGTGTAGTGTATAAAATCTCCTATCTCACTCCGAATTTTCCATTCTCGGCTCTATCCATTTTGTTAGTAATAACCAATCTAAAAGGTTTGGTACTTCTCTTTCTTATCACATATATGATAAGTTTTATTACTAACAGAAACACAAAAACTCCTACCATAGTCAAAACTATCCATTCCAACCATGTTAAATTCCCTGGAATTCGAGCTAATTTCCTCTCAGACATCAATTTAGCTACTCCATTCGCTACGATAACATGACCCATTGCTTGAATTCCCTCCTCTTGAGCTGCCTTAACGCTTGCTTTAACTCTCTTGACCATTTCAAAGAGTTCATAATTCCTCTCTTCCACCAAATCATTATTCCACCACTGTGGATCTAACTGCAACAATTGTACATGTGGAACATGAATTCCACCCAATTGAAGAGGATAGAGAATCTCAACGCAAAATGGATCAGAAGGAATTGGACATAGCTTTCCTCCGTATATCATATTTTCATTTATTCCGTCATGTAATATACACCACTGTGCTTCTGACACCTGCCATGCACCTGTGGCTTGATCTAAAGGAACTACTTCCCAAACTGCAGATCCATTAAGAGACAGACTAAACATTGTAGAACATGAGCAAATTACCCACTCATGTTCCTCAATACAACAGTCTGTAGTAGAAATCATTGGTGTTTCACCTTCAGCCCAATATCCATTCCTTCCCAATCTAATTACTGAATTTCCTTGTCTAACCCCCATTGATTGGAATCGTCTAACTGTCATAATATTGCGTTTCCCATATTGAGGCCAGACCATAATCAAAGGTAATGTTCCAGAACCTGACAACGAATCTTCATTGATTGCGATTTTAACTAATGGAGCATGTTTAGCAGAAGTCAAATTAAGTTGTTTTCCAAAAACCAATAACAAAGATTCCGCTATTCGCTCAGGAACTTGCCCCATTCGAATAACCTGAATATCCTCTACCATTTGATCCTTCAAATTCTGAGCCAAAAATAAACACGCTGCACGATGTGTCTCAAAATTAGACGATTTCACTAATGCATCTGCCAATTCCCTCGCTGCGTCATTAAGATGCTGACCCGCTGCTATAATATGTAGAGAACCTTGGAGAGTCTCAGTAAGTCCTTTGCCGGTCATTGTTCCCACCCACTGGGAGTACTCACTTACTTGGTTCAGCTGAGCAGTATTAATTGAATTGACAGAGCCAAATACCCCCGCTATGTCTCCCCATATACTTCGAGATTTACGATTTCGACTTCCAAGAGGATCCTTAGAGGTATAATATTTAATTTCTTTTTCCAACCAACTCCTAATTTTTGTGAAATTTCCACAATAGGACTGATCATAAACAGTAAGAAGAGACATCAAGTTATAATTAATGCGTTGTCACACCATATGAGCTTCGTTTATCAAGGTTTTGGTTTCCTTTGCTAACAATATACCATGAGCTGGTGCAATAGTTGTACTTGGGCATGTTTTAGCTTTGTTTGTCTTTCCCGCAGAAAGATAAAAACACCGTCCAATTTCCCCAGTTTCTAATTCAGTCTCACAATATTCATTCGCATCTTCCGAATGCCAAACTCGTATGTAATTTCCCTTGAATCTAGTTGTCCTGGAGGTAGCATCCCATAGAAACCCCTCGCATGGTAACACTATGGGATAGATACAGCCTAGGGCTAATGAATCCCATATTGTAAGCATGTGGGTACGATTCAAAATGAAATTAATTTCCACATCAGTAGATGTTCTGAGGTTTAACCCCACAATTTCACATTGTTCTTTTGAACAAATTTCTCGTCTTTGAGCACTACGGTATACCCCCCATCTTTCACCGGCCAAATTACTCTGCTTTTGTAACATTGGTGGTGAAAGTTACATCCACCGTAGATGCCCACTCGATATTTAGCAAGGTCTTTATCATTACGTGGCACCCAATCCCATAATCCCCATCTGGAAATAAAGGGTAGGGTAAAACGTTGGCCAGATTTCAGGGTTGCATTCCGAGTAATTTCTTGAACTCGAGGAGTCCATAAAGCTTGGCTTCCTTGGTAAATGCCAAGTAAAATTAAAAACAAGCATACCATTGTCGTTGTGTATCGAGAATAACTTGCGACCATCTCTAATCAATGTCAATGGAATTGATTCCTGAAATGGAAGCAGAAAAATAATTAATCATCACTCCTTTTTTCCAAAGTTAATGAGTGAACAGTGCTCAATCTCAGGTCCTAAGTCTTCATCATTTTGTTCATTCACTAAGCAAGGTTTAACTTGTGACCAATGATACCATCTATCTGTTCCTACACCCTTCCCTTTTAGGCAGACACTTGTATCTGTTGTTAAGAGTACCTCATATGGCCCCTCCCACCTAGGTTCTAAACCTTTCCTGGGAATACGTTTGACCATAACAAAACTGCCTAACTCAGGAATGTGTGGAATGTCAGTAGTGGTATGTTTTTCATCCCATTGCTGTTGAGCTTCTCGCACTTTCTTATTATTGTCTTTGATTGCTTTGTCCAGCATTGCAAGATAGCGTCGTAGCTTCTCTTGGAACAAAGTAGAGTCTCCTCCTGTTCCCGCAGGCGGCGGAGCATCAGGAGGCAGAACCATTGCTCTTCCAGTCATCAGTTCAAAAGGAGTCAGTCCCGTTACTCTGTTCGGGGTTGCTCTCAGATTCCACAAAATTGCGGGTAACAACTTGTGCCATCCTTGGCCAGTTTGCAGAATGGCCTTGGTAAGAGCGGTTTTCAACGATCTGTTCATCCGTTCCACTAGGCCTGAAGACTCAGGTCTATATGGGATGTGAAACTTCTGTTTAATCCCCATCAACTTCATTGCTTCCTTCATCAGTTTTCCAGTGAAGTGAGTTCCATTGTCAGAATCAAGTTCATATGGAAGACCCCAGCGAGGAAAGACTTGTTCAACCATCACTCGTGCGGCTGCTTCAGCAGTGCAGGTTTTTGTTGGGAATGCTTCCACCCATCTAGTAAATCTGTCCATGATTACTAGAATGTATTGGTACCCTCCACTGGGTGACAAAGGTCCTGTGAAATCGATTTGGAGATGTGTCCATGGACCTGTTGGTCTGGGTGCATGTGACATCCGCACCTTTACAGATTTTCCAACATTTGCTTTCAGACAGATCAAGCATCTTCTACAGTAATCATCAATGTCTCTCATCATTCGTGGCCACCACCACGTCTCGCTGATTTGAGCTTTCATTGCTTTTGCTCCAGCATGTACTTTTCCATGATACAGCTGCATTAGTTCCCTTCTTGTTCCGATAGGCATCACCACTTGTCCTGTTGGAATTCTCCAGATACCTTGATCATCCTCTTTCGCTCCCGCTTTTATCCATTGTTCTTTCTCTTCATCTGTCTCAGTTTGATATGACAGAAGGCGGAGCTCAGGATTATCTTCGGTGTTTTCCTTTACCAAGGTAACAGGAGTAAGAGGAAGTAGTGCTGCTTCTCTGGCCGCTGCATCTGCTGCCGTGTTTCCTTGACTTTCTTTGGACTTGTCAGATTGATGTGATTTTACTTTGATCACGGCTGCTTCTCTGGGTAGGTGACATGCTGCAATCAAACGACGAATTATGGAAGCATGTTGTATTTCGCTCCCATTGCTGGTGATAAGTCCACGTTTTTTCCACAGGGCAAGGTAGTCATGGACCACTCCAAAAGCATAACGGCTATCTGTGTAGATGTTGACTCGTTGTCCTTCCAATAATTCGAAACGACATTTCCATCAGCTTCCACTACAGCCCATCCAGTATGTCGTTTTCCATCAACATAGTAACTGGATCCATCGACCCATAACTCCTTGTCTGGATTTTCAAGAGGTGTTGGACTAACAGGACCAAGACTTTCTTCTTCTACTTGTTTTTCACACTCATGTGGTGTTCCCTCGTGTGGTTCGATCATCATCGTTGCAGGGTTAAGGGATGTGTCTCTGATGATTTCCACTCTCAAATCCTTGTTCAACAAAGTTGCTTCCCATTTTGCTCTCCTTGCATCAGTAATGGTCTTGATGTTTGTGTTGTTCAGCAACGTCACTATACTGTGTGGAGTATGCAATATGATTGTTTGTGCTCCTATCAAATTTTCCACAGCATCCACTGCCCATGTGGCACCATCGAGAGCTTGTATACATCGTGGTTGACCAATCATTGTAACAGGAATCTTTGTGGAAAAGTATCCAACTGGTTTGTATCGATCACCTGGTTTTTGACACAGTACTGCTGAGTACGTCTCATCTCCCACCCTGGTCCACAAATGAAACGGCAATCGTCCATCAGGAAGTCCCAAGGCTGGGGCTGAAGTCAGTTTTTCTTTCATTGAAGTAAATGCTTCCTCAGCTTCCGGTGTCCAGTTTATCTGTTCCATTCCAGGCTTTCCTCCCTTGTACAAGTCAATGAGGGGACTGGTGATGCTGGCAAAATCAGGAATATACTGACGACAATAG